ATTAACTGAGCTGTTTTAAGTATATACCAGTGTGTAAATATGTGTCATTTGACGATTTAGGAAAGTGACTTCATTAGTACCAATACGGTAACTTGAGTCAGTCCAGAGCTGTGTGTTATAAGATAGCAGCAGATACATCTATAAATCTGTCTTAACTTATAATACAACAGTACAGATGAAAGGCTTACACTTCCACCCATATACCACTCCAGATATATATATATATGTCTATACATACATATATGTTTCCATATATAGCTTGTGTGTTTTTTCAGCATTGTGCTGCCATGGAAACTGATATTACTGCTATATTGATTTTAGAGGGATTGCGAGTGCCTACTTTTGGTACTGTTGATCTGAGCTCTGCTGTGATCTGTGTGTGTCTGTATGTAAACAAGGTGTTTCTGTGGATGGCAGATCACTGTGCCGTGGCTGCCAGGAAATCCCAAAAACTGCCACCAAAATATATCTGTCAAATCCCTAGTCACCACGTGTCAAATGTGCGTCGCCCATCCCGTGCTCTGTTGCCTAATCAAAATCAAATACTTGAATCTGAAGTTAGTTGGGCACTTTATCATACAGGTGGCATCAAGTGGAGAAATCTGAAACCTGGCACCGCTTTTTGATGCCACTAACATGATTCTGCGGCCACGAAATGTCTTTGTTTAAATGCAACATCACGAGTTTCCCCGAACCATCTGATTTGCTGCCTCTGACTGTGTGCGGCCATACAGGGCCACGTTACAACTCGGTACAGTGACAGACATTTTATATACATGTTCAAGTTATTTATTGACTTAAAGCCATACGACTTGTCAGTGTCATATCCATGGATCATTTGGTAAGGGTAAATATAAAAAAAATGCTTTTGAAACAGTGGCTGAAGTCCAGTACCCAGGTACACTTATTCCATATTGAAAAATATATGTATCCAGTCGTATAAACAGTGGATTGCCTGATACGTGAAGACACGATTTACTTGTAAAACTCATTAATATGATGGTAAAGATGTTGGTTATAATTAAACTTTAATTGTGAAAACTTAACGCATTGCTATGACAGTGAAAATGTGTATGATAACGGAAAATTTGGTTAAGTGGAAATGAGGGAGGGGGGGGGGGGGGGATTTATATTAAGTGGAGTACAAAGTAGCATGATACTTAGTGGAGTACTAATAACATGATTTTAAGTGGAGTGTACAAGACAACATGATATGAAATATTAAGTGGTAGCATGATATTAATTGGAGTACACTATAATATGATATTAAGTGACAAAAAGTACAGTGTAACTTGATAATAAGTGGTAACATGATATTAAGTGGAGTACAATATAATATTATATTAACTGACATGTAGTGTAACATGATATTAAATGTAATATATGTAACTTGATTTTAAGTGGAGTGCATGTTAAGTCACATGATATGAAACAACATAGACTGCATAAAAACAAGTAATGTCTTAAAAAAACCAAATGGCAGTTTTTACATAGCTTCATGTTGTAATATGCAGTTTCAATAGCATTCGTGTGTGTTGTGATGCCTATTCAAATAACCAGTGAAATGCGATATGCATATGATAGTGTTGTATTATTCTGTTGGCAGGTGGACATCAAATAATACTTGTAGTAGATGTCAGGCATAAGATAATAATGGTTGGTTTGATGTAAAACAACAGGTATGAAATAAGAACCATGCTGACTCGAATTGACCATTCAGAGATGAACATATCAATTGGTTCAATCCTTTCTGTTCATATCTTCAAAACTAATTTGTATTTTGTAGAAACGTACTGCATAGTTTACTACTTAAAAAAATGTCAAGTATTCTGTTTCTTCTGTATATGAGTCATATGACCCAATGCATCCCAAAATGATCTTCAACAGCTCTGCCAAATAACAAAATAGAAAGTTATGTTTGGAAAAGCATGATAATAACCGAATGTGATATTAAAAGACATGATATTAAGTGGACTCAGTTTGGGCATCGTACAGATTAGGTTTACTGATACAAGGAAGGACATTTCATTGTTACGATTCTGCACAACTATGTATAGTATGTATACATCTGCTGAAATGTTAATTAATGTTAAATGGAAATTTCAGATCTAGTTTGATTTCCACTCATGAACGAGGGGTTGAATTTTTCATTTTTTCTCTCTCCATTTTGCCTTTGAAACAAGAGAATTCTTCAGATATATACTGGCAAGCATATATGTGCATGGGTTATAAAAAGTCAACACTGAACACATCTTGGCAGGGTAAAAATCATGGTGTTTCTAACGTATATGCAGACACCACACGGAGACAATTTATACCAGACACACATTGTCGAACCAACAATACTATAAGGTGACCGTGACAGAAACAGTGGTATAAATAAACGATGTTGATGTTCCAAAAACAAACACGGCACCTGAGCTGTCTGAAGCCTTTCCAGGAAAAGAATTTTCATTCCATATTTATGGCCTGGAAAAAAGCGTGATTATTTAGAAATAAATGTGGGAAAGGAAGCTAGTCCAGATTAATGAGCAGTAAGGTCACTTTTAGCTTTGTGGTCAATTTTTATAATGGCAATATTTTCCTTCTCACCATATCGACACTTTGAAATGTACACCTTTTTGGGATGAAAAAGTCATTTTATTTTATTTTCATGAACGTCATCCAGCTTCCTAATCTCAAAATCAAAACTGTCAATTATATTTTTTGGTCAAAATTCGAAATTATTGGCAAACACTTTTGATCTTATCAGACACATACATTTGACAGTAGTATAGCTGAACATCAACTATAGATCAAACATTGAAATATTTTCGTCTTTGGTTTTTCTTTTTCTCTGAATAAAACATGATAGCCCTTCATGCAAACAGCTATACTGGCCAAATATCATCACCCAAGGCCTCCTGGTTAATAGCTCAACGTTATGTAAAGGTCTTAACACATTTGACTCCAGTGACCTTGAAGATGGACCAAGGTCATTCATTTTAACCAACTTGATAGCCTTTTTCCCCCCAGCATACTACTGACAAAATACTGGTATCATCTCCCTTTAAATTGGCTTTAGATTAATCAGAAAGAGTTGTTTAAAGATAATTTACAAAGTTCACCCCTGTGACCTTGAAAGTTGGGCAAGGTCATTCCTTTGAACAAATTGATATCCCTTTATCCCAGCCTACTACTGGCCAAATATCAGTACCCAAGGCCTCTCGGTTATTCAGAAAAAGTTGTGAAAATACGCTGGCCTGACAGATTATTGTTTTGATTGGACTTTAATAGGGGGCCAGGTTCAGACATTTGGAAAGATAGAAAAGAAAGGGTAGGGCCTTGGGTGTTTGAGTATTTTGTATATGGTACCAGATCTGGTGGGAAATGACTCAGTTATGCAACTTAACCTTATACAGCCTGCTTATAGAATTAAATTAAAAATACTATACTGCAAGCTAGCTGGAAGGCAAATGATTCGATTTAAGTGTGATTTCATTCTTCATGTTCTAATATTGTCCTCAATCCTGCTAACATTTTCTATACTTTTGGTTTAAATACCTACATCAATCTAAATTTACACAGCTGGAATGGCTATCTCTAAAGTTCACAATCTAAAAATGTTATCAATTATCAAAATCAAATTTTGGTTAATGGCTAGATCTTAAATGTCAAATGAATAGTAAAACCTTTTAGTATATATACATATATGTTAAGAAATTATCTTTCACTTGAAAAGTGAATGAATTGAAGAACAATTCAATATAAAACACTTGAGAAGAATATTGAAATTTAAGAATTATTTAACTTAAGTTAAAGTGTGTCATCATGATAAAATATATTAATTCCAATGTCATTTTCTATGGAAGTATTCTGTAAATTCCAATGTCTTTTTCTATGGAAGTATTCTGTAAATTCCAATGTCATTTTCTATGGAAGTATTCTGTAAATTCCATTGTCATTTTCTATGGAAGTATTCTGTAAATTCCAATGTCATTTTCTGTTAAAATGCCATTTTGTGACGAATTCACAGAACTGAGTTTCTTAAATTAGATTAAAAACAAAACAAAGTTTATACAGAACCCAACTCTGAAAAAACAAAAAAACATCACAGGGGTCAAACTCAGGACCTGTCCACTATCATTCCTACACTTTACCAATGTTGTTATCCAGTTATTTTAGATGAACAGTATCAAAATGAGAGACGAAAACTTTGACAAGGGGAGTAACTCTATACAAAAAATGCCCAGCTCTGATTGGAACTCTTCTTCATAATTATAACTGATACAATGTCATCCTTTAACATTTGAGAATATTCAAAGAGTTATTAAAATACCTTTTAGTGATATATCTGGGCTAAATTGTATTTAAACTGGTGTCTTAATAATAGGGATTCCTTCTGTTTATGTAAAATTAAATATGGTACATACTGTAAAAATGGAAAGTTTTACATCGTGGAAATGTTTGCATTTTTTCATGTTGAGCAAATTAGTGAGAAAATATCCAAACACCTTTGTTTATTTATAGATTAAATAGATTATAGATCAGTAGAATATATATCGATTTAAGAACTATTGATGATGCGATAATGTCCACCACACAGCAATAGGTTTAAACGGTCACAAGGCGAAAATTTCCACACGCAAGAATTTCCACCTTTGCTGTAATTATGTTTTAGTTTTGTGTTTATGTCTGATATTCGGAGATATTGAACACATTGACTTAACATATTGTATGGATAGTTATGACACGTCTGAATAGAGCGATATCTTGTCCAGCTGTGACCGTTATTGTCTGATTTTCTTTGAATATTTTTAATAGCCTAAACTGTTTAATCTTACTGGAGACATTTTAATAGCTATGCGGGCTGGAGATTTTTGTTTTGAGCAAAGCTGTTACTGTTTGTTATAGAATGGGTTGAGTGTTGTTAATTTTTCCTAAATGCATCAATACTGTTACAGATGTTAATGTAGGTATCGCTGGCTGTAAATAATATCTTATATTACTTCTAATTGCAGATTGCACTGGATGGACTTTTCATAGGGAAACTTGCCTTCATACCCAAGACCTCGTTATCGCTTCACCTGCCACAAAATTGGAAGGATACACAGGTAAAAATTACATACAATATATATCAGCACTAAAATTAATCTTTGGACAGTGGTGTGACACTGCTTGATTACCTCCCTTAGATAAATTACAGATACAAGTCAACTCTAAACAAACACCATGTCAGACAACATATTTGGTCATATTAACCTCTCTTATCTGCCATCATGTGAGACACAACATATTGGTCAGATTAACCTGTCTAATCTGACATCCTGCAAGGCACAACATATTAATCAGATTAACCTGTCTAATCTGACACCATGTGTGACACAACATATTGGTCAGATTAACCTGTCTAATCTGGCATCCTGCAGGATGCCAGATTAGACAGGTTAATCTGACCAATATGTTGTGTCACACATGGTGTCAGATTAGACAAGTTAATCTGATTAATATGTTGTGGCCTGCAGGATGCCAGATTAGACAGGTTAATCTGACACCATGTGTGACACAACATATTGGTCAGATTAACCTGTCTAATCTGGCATCCTGCAGGCCACAACATATTAATCAGATTAACTTGTCTAATCTGACACCATGTGTGACACAACATATTGGTCAGATTAACCTGTCTAATCTGACATCCTGCAGGGCACAACATATTAATCAGATTAACCTGTCTAATCTGACATCCTGTGTGATTCAACATATTGGTCAGATTAACCTGTCTATTCTGACACCCTGTGTGACACAACATATTGGTCAGATTACCTGTCTAATCTAACATCATGTGTGACACAGCATATTGGTCAGATTAACCTGTCTAATCTGACATCATGTGTGATACAACATATTGGTCAGATTAACCTGTCTTATCTGACATCCTGTGAGACACAACATATTGGTCAGATTAACCTGTCTAATCTTACATCATGTGTGATACAACATATTGGTCAGATTAACCTGTCTAATCTGACACCCTGTGGCACACAACATATTGGTCAGATTAACCTCTCTAATTTAGTTTTTACCTTAAAATTGATAGAAGAAATTTATTACCTGTAACTATGCAAGGTTGGGTGATCTCAGTCTCAGGCTTAGATTATGTTATATCCAAATCTCAGCTTATGCCTTCGTTGAGATAATGTTACAGAATCTTAGCCCTCGACTGAGATAACCTGATTTCTCGCTCATTTCAGGTTTTAGATTTTATCAATCCCTTATAGTGCATTTATACAGTTCCCTGTGATATATAAATTTATATACAGTCCCCTGTGATATATAAATTAATATACAGACCCCTGTGATATATAGATTTATATACAGTCCCCTGTGACATGTAAATTTATATACAGTCCCCTGTGATAAATACATTTTAATGCAGTCCCCTGTAATATGTTTATAAACAGCCAAGCAATGGAAATTTGGTCTGTGATGATACCCAGACTAAAGAGGGTTTATTATAGACAGGTGAGGCTACACAGGTATAAGTCGTTATGAAGTAGATTACACGTATATACTGTGTTGTCGTAACATCGTGAAGGCTCACAGTTGACCTATAATGAGCGAGGACTTTTATAGCACCAGCATGTGTATATTGATAATTCGATGCAATTAATTGAGGAAAGTCGACAACCAGAGGTGACGTCAAAAGGAACATGGAAGTTCATCAGAAACCCGACATTGACGACATGTCGTATTACACATCTTACCAAGAGTTAATTAAACACCCTTAGTGTATGTATACACATTGAACATTTCTGCTATTTTCACTACAATTACGGAGAAAACCGGAATAGGTTCATCGTGTGGGTATACGGTAGGTAGAGATGTATAGATGCTGTGACTTGTTTGCCGTATAAGTTTACGGTTTGAAGTAACTGTATTGTTATCTTTTTATTTCATGTTTATAAATGCCTAATTGTTCTGAAGTGTACACAAAATGATAAAATTATTATTATTCTTATCCAGATAAAAAACTTTTTTTTTTTTTTTTTTTAATTATATTTAATTTCTGTTTATGAGAATCTGAATGTAATAAAACAAAAGTCATTGTTAAAGCTGACAGAGAATTTCTTTAATGTCGTCGTATTTCAGATTCTTCTTAAACTTCACACTGAATTAGATTACAATGACGTTTTTAGGTAATGGTATATAACTAAAGATACATATATACACCTATTATAGTGAGGTCATTACCGAAGGTTAAGGACCCCCTCCCTAGTAAGTGCATATTATCCCATCATCCAGGCAGGGTGTGACTACTCAACGAGCATGCAACATTGACATGCAAATCGCCACTCAGTAAACCTGTCACGTATTTACATATCAAATCTTCTGCAAACAAACCATCAACTGCACTTTACGGATACCCAAAAATCTCCGTTTAGAAATCACGTTTTCAGGGTGGATATTTATGGAATCTTACACAGGTTTTTCGTTTTAAGGTAAGATCGTTATGTTCTGATCTTTCGTAAGAATTTGAATTTCATAATGTGCATGCAAGACGGTGACTGTGGAAACCAGGAATGGATCAAAACGATCAAATGTTTACCGAGGCTCTATCAAGCTTCGTTAATTTAAGGAATATTAATGAGTTTCTTTTTAATTGACCAATAATATTACACTAAGATCAAGAAACAAGCATCAAGTGTGATTAAAGTGTGAAAAAAAATATCTTCATCTCCATATTCATAACAGTTAAATCTGTAAAAAGGTAATCTTATACAGCCCTGTTTGGGATTCGTTACCTATTTGCTTGATCATTGGAAAGACAAATTTACTGATATATTAAGTTTGGTATTTTGGGGAGGTTGGGG